ATAGATGACTCTTTTTATGTCAATAAATGATTGTAATTTATCGTGTGGTCTCTTACTGTTCCCAAAGAATCCAATGTTTTTACCGTACTTATTAGTTTGGTGTGTTTTTTACACTTTAAGTAGTGTTTCCACACTCTTCCACAAGCCATATTACTGGTGCTTTCTCATGATGTTAATTGAAGGAGGATGACATTGCCTTTTGGCTTTGTGGTGCAGTTGGACCAAACTTACAACACAGTTGAAGATATCCCTCTACTGATGTCCCAGAGAGGGTTGCAAAGTCAACATATGATTTATTATACCATTTTAATTCTGGGTGGAGCTGGACTTTGTTTATTTTACAGTATACCTAAAGGCAAAACCTTTTTATTTCTAGCTTTGGACAGCGTGGAGAGGGATTAGAACACACATTAGGTTTTTATTGCTGTCTTTGCCCCAGTTAAGGAGATTCACTCTATTTGTCCTGTTTGCTATTATCATTGAAAGTGAACGCGAAAAGAAAATCCCAAAGTTTGGGTTGTCCCCAGAAAAGTAAGTGGAAATCTCCCAATGGGGACACTGGATCTGGTGACCTAGAGGGCCCCAAGGGATTCCCTTCATTTGCAGGGATTTCTTCTCATTTTCTGCCGCCTATTGGACAAGGAGTGAAGGGAAATCCCCCCCATGGTATACAGATGGCAGAAAAAAACCTGACAGTTTTAAAACCCTCCCTTTTTATAAACAGAAAAAAAAGGTTTTGCGTGCGAGTTCTACTTGAAGAGATTGCCCTATCTACACAAGAACCTGGTGCTGATGTACGTAATAACAGGTCAAGGATCCATACCGATCCAGTTTCAAACACTTTCATATGGCATTATCAATGTTTCCAAGCATTTTTCTCTCATAATCTCATCTAACTGATACATTTTACTGTATGTGGGCACCTCTTGTGTTTCTAAAATGGTTTTTCCCAACTTCTGCATGTCTTAGGGGTCTCCTGTACATACAATTTAGTTTTTTTTCTGGAATAGCCATGGTCAGAGACGTATGCGCATTGCTGTAGCCAGGGCGTGGATAAGGGGGATCACCAGTCCTCATGTATGGGGCCCAGGCCAGCAGGGGGCCCAGGTAGCTGGGTGAATTGGATGTGGCAGGAGGTTGATTGGTATGATAGGAGGGGGTAATTACTGGAACCAATCCCCTGTACGACTCTCATTGCAGCAGCTGAAAGTTGGCTTCTTCTCCTCTCCCACTGGCTTTCAGCTGCTGCAGAGATAGCCATACCGGGGATCGGTTCCAGTAATTGCCCCCCCTACTGCCCGGGCCAGCTTTGTGCTCTCACCCCCACTATGCTGCCAGCTTCCTTCCTCTCCTTTCAGCAGCTGCAAGCACACAATAAGATCTTTCAGGATGGAGAGGGGGAAAAGGGTCGATAAATACATCACATTTACCAGCCCCTTCCTTTCCCAAATGAACACAATGAGTGATCAGTACCAATCACTAACTGTGTACATTCATAACTGAAGCATAGTAAACTGTTTTTTTTTTGGGAAGGGGTTGCCCTGCCAGGTTGGCTGTATGGGGCCCTGTGGTTTCTAACAGCAGCCCTGCCTGTAGCAGCCATGAGGCTCCTGTTGTTTTTATAGCACAGAATAAAGTCAGTCCACCCAAAACAGATATTTCGATATTAGCAAGTATTCAGAAAATTAAAGTGTACCTAAACCCAATAAAAGGAAATACATTGCAATAGCCCAGCTCTGAGATTTGGTGACTCAATTCCTTTTTCCAGTTTTTTTTTTCCTTTAATTTTTACCTGGTGGTTCTGTCGTAACCTACATCAAGGGGCGGACTGACCATTTGGAAACTCAGGCACTGCCCGAGGGCCCGGGGTCAGTAGGGGGCCCATGAGATGCCCCTGGTACCTTTTTCATAGGCTTTTTTTTGAGTTTGAGCAAGGAAAGGGGCCCCATGATCCCCTATTGCCCGGGGGCCCCATGGTTTTTATAAGCAGGATCCCAATTGAATCTCACCAGTAGTGATAAATGAACCAGCAAAGTTCAGTTTGCAAGAAGTTTGGCAAACCCAATAAAAAATCTTCTGAACCCCTTTTAGTTAAAAAATGCCTAGTTAGCTGGGCACTATCATGGGGACATGTACCAATGCAAAAATCGTTATTAACCGCTTCCTGACCGCCCTATAGCAGAAATACTGCTACAGGATGGCACGGGTGCACAAAATCACGTATATATGCATGATTTTGCATTTCTGGGAATTGAGCGCACGCCTTACCCGCACCGCCATTCGTGGCTGTCAATCGCCGGGTCCCAGCCCGGTTTGTTTACTAAACCCTTTGATCGTCCCCCATGTTAACTCCTTCCTGCCCAGTGCCATTGGTACAGCATCAGTGCTTTTTATATTAGCACTGATCACTGTATTGGTGTCACTGGGGATGTCAGTGACACCAAGTCAGTTCCCTATCAACCACAGTCCCACTATATGTCACTGATCGCCACCATTACTAGTAAAAAAAAAAAAAAAAAATTCCAGTATATATACCGCCACTTGTGCATAAACTAATTAAATTACACGTATTGGGATTTTTTTTTAGCAAAGACATGTAGTAGAATACTTTTTGGCCTAAATTTATGATGAAATTTGATTTTTTAAATTTTACTGGACATGTTTAATAGCAAAAAGTCAAAAATATTGCTTTTTTTCTCAAAATTGTCGCTTTTTTTTTTTTTTTTTGTATAGCACAAAAAATTAAAAAGCACAGGTGATCAAATACCACCAAAAAAAAGCTCAATTAGTAGGAAAATGGACTTAAATTTCATTTGGGTGCAGCATTGCATGACCGTGCAATTGTCAGCTAAAGTAACGCAGCGCCGTAACGCAAAAAATGGCCTGGTCAGGAAGGGGGGGGGGGGGGGGGAATCCTCAGGAGGGCTGTTCCCTGTTTGGGGAGAGGATATCCTTATGTGGACAAGATTAAGAGTACACATTTTTTTTAAATACCGTACTTGAGACATGCCTTAAACCTGCACATAAAGTGTCACGCCTGTGCAGCGTACTTCTATAAAAAAAGACTAATGTTAAATGACAGCTCCCTGGCCTGCTTCTGTCTGTAAACAAAGAGGCTTGGAGTTCCCATATGACATCATTTACTAAATATGAACAATGGTGTCATCCAGGTTTCCCAGCACTGTTGTGCACATTCCATCAGTTCCAGGGACCTGTCATTTGCAATGGGTGGAGCAGTGAGACTGCATTGTCATGGAAGACAGTCGTCAGGGGCAGGGGCGGACTGACCATTTGGAAACTCGGGCACTGCCCGGGATCAGTAGTGGGCCCCATGAGATGCCCCTGGTACCTTTTTCATAGGCTTTTCTGAGTTTGGGTAAGGACACAGGGGCCCCATGATCCCCTATTGCCTGGGGGCCCCATGAGTTATCAGTCCGCCCCTGGTCGTCAGGCATTACGTATACTGATTGACGTTGGGATTTTCTTTGCTGAACAATCTAATTGACCGAGGTCCTGGTCTGAGGTTCCTCACCAGTGCCAGTATCTTTTCCCTGGTGTCTTCCGGCCAACTTGACTGGCTGGAGTGGGATGACGTCAGTCCCGTGCATGCACAGGAGTACAGTCATCCCAGCACTCAAGCACACTCTGCTGGAATGTAAACTGAGCTGGGCATGCACAGCTCAGTGCTCCTTCTACAGATAATTGGAAGCAGGCAGGAAAGTTTATTTATTGCAGAAGAGGTATCACATGTCATTTGTCAATGAAGAGCCTACCTGCTCAGTTTTTTTTTTTTTTTTCTCCCCCTTTAAGCACGTGCCTTGGTATGAATCATACAAATGTACCGCATGCTTACTGCCCCCCCCCCCCCCTTTCCTGGCTAACCAGGCTGCATGCCTGACTAAGGCTCTGCTGTGGATCTTGAGTGGAGCCCCAGACTATTTTTGTCTTAAAGAGATACACATTGTTTACAAACAATGTGTACAGTCTATTTCAGGGGCGGACTGGCCATTTGGAAACTCGGGCACTGCCCGAGGGCCCAGGGTCAGTAGGGGGCCCCATGAGATGCCCCTGGTACCTTTTTCATAGGCATTTTTGAGTTTGGGCAAGGACACAGGGGTCCCATGATCCCTATTGCCCGGGGGCCCCATGAGTTGTCAGTCCGCCCCTGGTCTATTTAAAGGGAAAAAACTGCATGATGCCCCCCTTAATTACTATACACTTATCCTGGCATGTAGCCTGGCCAGCCAGGAAAGGGAGGGGTGATGTGTGTGCCCCCCCCCAACATTAGGAGGGTACCTTGCAAAAAGAGAGGCACACCGTGACCAAAGCAATACAATGTTACCGTAGAAATATTGAACTACTCTGGGCAAGTGATCAGGATTTTTTTTTAACACTTTCTGATTGCTAATACCAATGTATTTAATTGATATTTACAATCGTAATTGAATGAAACTAAATCATTCAGTGTTTTGTTGTGATTGGGCAAAGCTGATCACATGACACAGATGGGCTGTGATTGGTCCTGTTGTCTGTGTCATGTGACTGGCTTGACCAATCAAAGCTAACAACATAATTGTATACAATGGATGGCATGGCAGGAAGCCATCCATTGTATACAATTGACGTGATCCGCTGTGATTGGTCACAGCGATTACATGACACTGGCAACGGGCCGGTGTATTGATATGTGATCGGCTGTGTCCTGTGGACATAGACGGTGACAGATCGTGCCACTGTGCGTGAGCGGGAAGTTTTGACAGGATGTCATATGACACACAGTCACAACGGCGAGTGTCCTAATCTGCTATAGGCTGGGAAGAAAGGTGTTAAAGTGCACATTATAAAGAGTTTAGAACAGATTATTATTATTAATATTATTACTATACAGGATTTATATAGCGGCAACAGTTTGCAGCACTTTACAATATAACGGGAGACAATACAGCAACAATACAGTTCAATACAAGAGGGATAGGTGGGCCCTGCTCCTTGGAGCTTACAATCTAAGAAAAAAACTTTTGTTTACTTTTTTTCTGCCCTTCAGAATGGATTAATTGGTTCTCAATGCATTTACAAATTAATTTTAATCATGTCCCTGTACAGTATTTATGCCTTTAAAGTGCACTTTATAAAGAGTTTTGAACAGATAAAAGTCTTTTTACTTTTTACTTCTTTCTGACCTCCGGAACGGATTAGTTGTTTTACAATGCATTCCTATGGGAAACCGCGTTTCGGCTTACAAATTTTTCGCTATACAGAAAGTCCCCCGCAGAACGCATTAAATTTGTAAACCAAGGTACATCTGAAACTGTTTTTGATTTTTGAAAAGGGTGGACTAAAACACAAAGCAGCTGGAACACCAACGGCAACCATAAACCTCCTATAGATAAATAATTGGGTGCAGCGCTAATCATAAATAATATATGTACAAAAGTGCTTAAATACAGAAATTTGAACAATAACTTATTCATATTAAACCATATAAAGTGCTGATGGTATAAAATAAAGTGACATAAATGCACATTGTGCACTTTATTCAGTGTGTTTGCATATGTTTTAACACTTATGTCACTTTATTTTATACCATCAGCACTTTATATGGTTTAATTTGAATAAGTTATTGTTCAAATTTCTGTATTTAAGCACTTTTGTACATATATTTATTTATGATTAGCGCTGCACCCAATTTGAAGTTTGTTTTTTATTTTTGCCTGTTTCCCACACATCATCTTCCTATTGATCAGGGATCCAAGAGGTGGAACTGTGTATTGGTACAAAGCAAAAATTGGGTTTTAGCAAATGTCCAGACCATTAGCTGATAGAATAGCCATATGGATTTTTCTTAATATTGGTCATGGAAGCATGCTAAATCAACCATTTGTTTTTTGAATATAGTACATTGTATATCACATACTTTTTTTTTTTATTGTAAGCTCCCAGGATCAGGCGGCCCTCCTAACCCTCTTGTATTGAACTGTATCGTTGCTATATTGTCTCCTCCTCCCATGCTCATCTCCAGGACTTCTCCAGAGCCTCCCCCATCTTCTGGAACTCTCCACCCCAATCTATCCAACTATCTCCTACTCTGCCTCACTTTTAGGCGATCTCCGAAAATCTCTCTCTTCAGGGAAGCCTATCCCGCCTTCAGCTAATAACGGAATCTTCTATTCCTCCTAACAGTTCATCCCCCACAGCTATTACGTTTTTGTACCTCCAGCCCCTCCCTCTTAGATTGTAAGCTCCCAGGATCAGGCCCTCCTAACCAGGGGCGGGCTGAGAACTCATGGGGCCCCAGGGCAATAGTCGATCATGGGGCCCCTGTGTCCTCGCCCACACCTTAAAAGCCTATGAAAAAGCCAATGAAAGGTATCTCATGGGGCCCCCTACTGACCCCGGGCCCTCAGGCAGTGCCCGAGTGCTCAAATGGTCAGTCCGCCCCTGCTCCTAACCCTCTTGTATTGAACTGTATTGTTGCTGTATTGTCTCCCGTTATATTGTAAAGCGCTGAGCAAACTGTTGGCGCTATATAAATCCTGTAAAATAGTTATCTAGATTATAAAGGTCAGCTAAGTTCATAAAAAAAAACTTTGTCCTCAGCACAAACGGCATGTTTTCCTGTTTAGTAGAACAGTTTACACTGAAATTCAGTTTTGTGTAATCAAGCCACAGCCGCCTCAAGAGCACTTTCTGCCCTGAGAGTGTAGTCAATGACTTTAAGGGTCATGTCACCCAAAGTTGATATTTTAGTTATAAGTGGAGCCCAAGGGGCTGAGTTAGTCCCTGGCATCTTATATGTCTTCGGTTTGCCAACATCAAGATCTCCTTGTCTTAATTCCCAACTTTGTCACAGTCTACCTAGGAGTTTTGAGTGTTGGGAACAGCCAGATGTGCTGTCTGAGAAACACATGAGCAGAGATCTCACAAACCAAAATGGTAAAAAACAGAATCTTTAAATAATGAGGTTTTATTTTCCTGCAGAAGCTGAGCAGAGTTCCAGGAAGGCTTCAAAAAGCCCAAGCCCAGAGGCTATCCTTCGCCGGTGAGAACACAACTATTAAACCAAACAACAAAGAATGCACACGCCCTCTGATAGAATTGCTTCTAAAAGTTGTACAATTTTTATCTGTTGCCCTTTTCTTTTCTTTTTTTTCATTAGAGGAAAACGTTCTCAGATTCAGCCTTCTACATCTGATACGTCGCACAGTATTCACATGCAGTACACCAGCCTCATCCGCTCCTGTAAGTGGTAAAAGGACCAATGAATGTCAATTACAAGATATTTGGTGGGAAAGAAGGATTTAATGGCTGAAGGTGATCAGAACTTTGTAGATTAAATGTGAGAGGGGTAAGGTTTTGTAATGGTTATGTGATATAGATCATCCTATGCTCATCACCCAGCAGTGATACGTAAAGTGTTACTAAACCAGGACCCTGCATTCACTATATCTGGTCTCCCCAGACCCTGCATTCACTATATCTGATCTCCCCGGACCCCGCATTCACTATATCTGGTCTCCCAGGACCCTGCATTCACTAAATCTGGTCTCCCCGGACCCTGCATTCACTATATCTGGTCTCCCCAGACCCTGCATTCACTATATCTGGTCTCCCCGGACCCGCATTCACTATATCTGGTCTCCCAGGACCCTGCATTCACTATATCTGGTCTCCCAGGACCCTGCATTCACTATATCCGGTCTCCCAGGACCCTGCATTCACTATATCCGGTCTCCCAGGACCCTGCATTCACTATATCCGGTCTCCAGGACCCTGCATTTACTATATCCGGTCTCCCAGGACCCTGCATTCACTATATCGGTCTCCCAGGACCCTGCATTCACTATATCCGGTCTCCCTGGACCCTGCATTCACTATATCCGGTCTCCCCGGACCCTGAATTCACTATATCTGGTCTCCCTGGACCCTGCACTCACTATATCCGCTCTCCCAGGACCCTGCATTCACTATATCTGGTCTCCCCGGACCCTGAATTCGCTATATCTGGTCTCCCCAGACCCTGCATTCACTATATCCACTCTCCCAGGACCTGCATTCACCTGGTCTGCACCCTGCATTCACTATATCTGATCTCCCCGGACCCCGCATTCACTATATCTGGTCTCCCAGGACCCTGCATTCACTATATCCGGTCTCCAGGACCCTGCATTCACTATATCCGGTCTCCCAGGACCCTGCATTCTATATCCGGTCTCCCAGGACCCTGCATTCACTATATCCGGTCTCCCAGGACCCTGCATTCACAATATCCGGACCTGGACCCTGCATTCACTATATCCGGTTTATTCACTATATCTGGTCTATACTCACTATACGCTCTCCCAGGACCCTGCATTCATATATCTGGTCTTTTCGCTATATCAGGTTCCCCAGACCCATTCACTATATCCACTCTCCCAGGACCCTGCATTCACTATATCTGGTCTCCCCGGACCCTGCATTCACTATATCTGGTCTCCCACAGTACACAGGACATGGAAGTGCAAAATTTTAGTAAATATAAACTGCTAAATACCTTTTCTCATCAGGAGTTAGAGCAGTCTTGTGACTTCTATCAGTGTCCAGCCAAGCACTGGTTAAAGGTTGTAGGAGGAGTTTTCATTTTGCTCTAGGATGATGCAGAGCCCCTGACCTCTGTCGGACAGTGCTGATTGGCCCTGTGCTGATCACATGCAGCAATACACATCAAATTCAGCATGTGCACTCCACACAATATGTCTAATCAGGAGATAAGGGAGGGGGGCACTTGAAGAAGGGGAGGATCAGAAAAGTCAGGATCAAACAGCCTTTTTACACAATGCAGAGGATTAACCCCTTAGGTTCCACAGTGAGTATAACAAGCATGCTTTACTGCATCTACAGACTGATTTTACTGTTGTGGGTTTAGTAACACTTTAATAACACTCTATTAATGGCAGGAGATAGTATAACCATATAGGTTATGGTGAGAATGAAAACCATTTATTCCAAACTATACAGCTGTTTCAGGCTTCGGGGCCTTCATCAGTGCAGTGTATGGAAACCATGGAGTCTGTGAGGTCTTGGGATCCAATGAGACAACATAGCCTTAGGTTATGGTTTAAAGGGAGTAAAGAAGAAATCAAAAAGACTTCAACCAAATCAGTGTATGAAAACTATGGCTTTTATGGAGTAGGTCTTGGGACCCAATAATGGAACAATGGCTTTACTGTGTTAAGCACTGATTTGGTCTGACACTTTGATTCATCTAGTCCTATCTTACCATAACCTGTATGGCGATACTGTCTTGTTGGGTCTTAAACCCTACTCCACATAATCCATGGTTTTCATACGTTGCACTGCTGATGGCCAACAGGCTGTTTCAAGCTTTCAGGGCCCCCATTAGCGCAGTGTATAGAAAACCATGGATTCTATGGAATTTTTTAGTATGGAGACTTCAGAAAAGGTTATGGTGTAAAGAGACTAGGAAAGGAATCAAAAAGCCCTAAAACCGAATCAGTGTATGAAAAAACCGTGGCTTCTATGGAGTAGATTTTGAGACCCAGTGATGGAACGATGGCTTTACTGTGCTAAGCACATATTTGGTTGGACATTTTGATTCCTTTAGCCCATTCTTAATATAACCTGTATGGAGGTACTGTGTTGTTTGGTCCCAAACCCTACCCTCTAGAATCCATGGTTTTCATACACTACACTGATGATGGCCAACAAACTGCTTTAAGCTTTAGGGACGTCATCTGTGCAGTGTAATAAAATCATGGATTCTTTGGGGTCTTAGGACCCAACGAGACAACACAACCATAGGTTATGGTGTAAAGGGATCAAGGAAGGAATAAAAAAGCCCGCCAATTAAATCAGTGTATAAAAACTATGGCTTCTATGGAGTAGGTCTTGGGAACCAGTGATGGCTTAAATGTGCTAAGCACTGATCCATTTGGACTCTTTGATTCCTTTAGTTCTTTCTCATCATACCCTGTATGGTGGTACTATCTAGTTAGGTCCCAAACCCTACTCCATAGAATCCATGGTTTTCATACACTGCACTGATTA